CCGGATAAACACATTTCATTACACCAAATACACAAAATAATGTTCTTTTTAGCAACATCATATGACCCCTTTAAGATACCCAATACCAAGTGGTAATACAGAGTTACACCCATTTGTGGACGCACATGTGCAACAAACCAGTTCCCTTAATTTCTTGTATGTCAAATATCCGAGGTTAGGGCACTTATCTAGCAGTCCGTGGCCACAAAGAGGGAAGAAAAAAATATTTACAGCAGTTTCTATTAAAAACAAACAAAAAAGGGGGGGTCAAAATGAAGTAACTGCCACACATCAAGTTTCAAATAAATCTACCTCGGAATTTTCTCGAACATCAACAGCGTAAAAAACTCCAGTATATAGAATCGGCAGCGTTTATTTTGGTATAGCCTATGTATGCCCATTATATCTCTCAATCGTTACTCATCTTCCAACGTTTTTAGAAATTCGGTGATGGCCGCTGGAGAGGAAAAGACGTGCATCTCAGTTCCATGGAGACAGCGGAGCTTAGCAGGATAGGTGAAGCCTCTGAACATATCACGAGCAGAGAGTATTTTCCGGACATCGTTGAACCCTCTGCGTTTCTTCAGCACATCTGCAGATACGTCCTGGAAAAAGCGCAGTCGATTCCCATGGTAGCTGATGTTGTGTTTTTGTTGCATAGGAAGTGGACCAGAACACTTCGCGGGGGGCGATTTGCTCCCTGGATGGAGCCGAGAGACCTATGGGCTCTCTCGATCTCGAAATGTGAGTCAGGTGTAAAGTCCAGCCATTTCAGCAGCATCTTCGTGAGAAATTGTGCGACGGACTCAGAACCTTCAGCTTTCTCAGGGAGGCAGACGATTCTCAGGTTTTTGCGTCTTCCTCAGTTATCCAGGTCGTCTACTTTGGCTCTAAGTAATGCCAATTCTTTGTCCAAAAACGCAATTCTGTTGTCGTGAGACAGCATGCAATCTTCGGCTGCGGAGATGCTGCATTCAGCCTCAGCTAAACGCGTCTCATTTGATGCCACTCTGCCAGACAAATTAGAAAGGGCTTCCTGTATCGAGGTAACTGAAGTAGAAATATTGTCCAAACGGTTGTCAATCGCACTTAACCTGCCGTCAATATTGCCCAAACTGGTTCCCAGTGAACGGATTTCGGTCAGCATGACTTCGGCCTTATCTGAAGAGGTCTCCCCTCCGTCTCAGCGTGCTTTTTTTTACGTTTCTGGAAGGCCGAGAGGATGTGAATAGAGGAAATTCCCACGTTTATTTAGTCTCAGACATTGCTTGTTATTGTTGGGACAGTAAACCTCGAGTAAGAATCAAGATAAAAGAAGGAAAATTTGAAAAGAAAGGGAACTGGCCATCTTCGAAGAGGTCACGTCACAAATTGCATTTATAATGTTGGTAAGATTTTCCCATTAAAAGCAGTTCTCTACCCTGTTTTTCCACTCTCTGGATTGAATACTCTGTTTAAAGGAATGTGTGTCAATGTAAATTTTAATATAAATGACTGGGAACTTTTTGTGTATGAATTAAGTATTATAATTAAGCACAGACATCTTCACAATAAAGCAGCTGAATCACTGTGCTGAATGTGGTTTTACCTCAACAGCTGCTTTTAGCTTCATGCTGATGTACAAGTTTGAGTCCTCTCTGTCTCCCACCTAGAACAAACAAAGCATCAACATTCAAGCAATGTTTAAAACTTCCACACATTTCATTTTTTGTTAAACATTTTTAGTCATTTCTTCTTTTCCAGTTTATGCTTTTGAACTGAACATTTAAATACAATAAAGCAATACACAAAAAATGTATAAAATTGTACAAAAAAAAAATAATAATTCACACAGTTTAAAGTGCAAAAAAATTATGAAGACCAATAGGTACAATTTTACATTAAGATTCCATTAGTTAACCTTAGTTAATGCATTAACATTAATAATGAGCAATAGCTACATTTGATACAAAAGTTATTAATCTTTCTTAAAAAATACAACTCTTAATGTTAGCTCGAGTTCATTAAATAAAGTTGCAACTTTTGATTATAACAACTTATTAATTATTGAAATTACCCAAGATTAATGAATGTTTACAAGAATTTTTCATTGGCAGTTCATGTTAACTAATGAATTAACTAATGGTAACTAATGAAGCCCTAATGTAAAGTTTGACCGAACAATAAAGAATCAAAACATTTTCAAACAATATAGGGCATAACTGAAGTAGAAATATTGTCCAAACGGTTGTCAATCGCACTTAACCTGCCGTCAATATTGCCCAAACTGGTTCCCAGTGAACGGATTTCGGTCAGCATGACTTCGGCCTTATCTGAAGAGGTCTCCCCTCCGTCTCAGCGTGCTTTTTTTTACGTTTCTGGAAGGCCGAGAGGATGTGAATAGAGGAAATTCCCACGTTTATTTAGTCTCAGACATTGCTTGTTATTGTTGGGACAGTAAACCTCGAGTAAGAATCAAGATAAAAGAAGGAAAATTTGAAAAGAAAGGGAACTGGCCATCTTCGAAGAGGTCACGTCACAAATTGCATTTATAATGTTGGTAAGATTTTCCCATTAAAAGCAGTTCTCTACCCTGTTTTTCCACTCTCTGGATTGAATACTCTGTTTAAAGGAATGTGTGTCAATGTAAATTTTAATATAAATGACTGGGAACTTTTTGTGTATGAATTAAGTATTATAATTAAGCACAGACATCTTCACAATAAAGCAGCTGAATCACTGTGCTGAATGTGGTTTTACCTCAACAGCTGCTTTTAGCTTCATGCTGATGTACAAGTTTGAGTCCTCTCTGTCTCCCACCTAGAACAAACAAAGCATCAACATTCAAGCAATGTTTAAAACTTCCACACATTTCATTTTTTGTTAAACATTTTTAGTCATTTCTTCTTTTCCAGTTTATGCTTTTGAACTGAACATTTAAATACAATAAAGCAATACACAAAAAATGTATAAAATTGTACAAAAAAAAAATAATAATTCACACAGTTTAAAGTGCAAAAAAATTATGAAGACCAATAGGTACAATTTTACATTAAGATTCCATTAGTTAACCTTAGTTAATGCATTAACATTAATAATGAGCAATAGCTACATTTGATACAAAAGTTATTAATCTTTCTTAAAAAATACAACTCTTAATGTTAGCTCGAGTTCATTAAATAAAGTTGCAACTTTTGATTATAACAACTTATTAATTATTGAAATTACCCAAGATTAATGAATGTTTACAAGAATTTTTCATTGGCAGTTCATGTTAACTAATGAATTAACTAATGGTAACTAATGAAGCCCTAATGTAAAGTGTGACCGAACAATAAAGAATCAAAACACTTTCAAACAATATGTCTCATTTGATGCCACTCTGCCAGACAAATTAGAAAGGGCTTCCTGTATCGAGGTAACTGAAGTAGAAATATTGTCCAAACGGTTGTCAATCGCACTTAACCTGCCGTCAATATTGCCCAAACTGGTTCCCAGTGAACGGATTTCGGTCAGCATGACTTCGGCCTTATCTGAAGAGGTCTCCCCTCCGTCTCAGCGTGCTTTTTTTTACGTTTCTGGAAGGCCGAGAGGATGTGAATAGAGGAAATTCCCACGTTTATTTAGTCTCAGACATTGCTTGTTATTGTTGGGACAGTAAACCTCGAGTAAGAATCAAGATAAAAGAAGGAAAATTTGAAAAGAAAGGGAACTGGCCATCTTCGAAGAGGTCACGTCACAAATTGCATTTATAATGTTGGTAAGATTTTCCCATTAAAAGCAGTTCTCTACCCTGTTTTTCCACTCTCTGGATTGAATACTCTGTTTAAAGGAATGTGTGTCAATGTAAATTTTAATATAAATGACTGGGAACTTTTTGTGTATGAATTAAGTATTATAATTAAGCACAGACATCTTCACAATAAAGCAGCTGAATCACTGTGCTGAATGTGGTTTTACCTCAACAGCTGCTTTTAGCTTCATGCTGATGTACAAGTTTGAGTCCTCTCTGTCTCCCACCTAGAACAAACAAAGCATCAACATTCAAGCAATGTTTAAAACTTCCACACATTTCATTTTTTGTTAAACATTTTTAGTCATTTCTTCTTTTCCAGTTTATGCTTTTGAACTGAACATTTAAATACAATAAAGCAATACACAAAAAATGTATAAAATTGTACAAAAAAAAAATAATAATAGAATTTTTCATTGGCAGTTCATGTTAACTAATGAATTAACTAATGGTAACTAATGAAGCCCTAATGTAAAGTTTGACCGAACAATAAAGAATCAAAACATTTTCAAACAATATAGGGCATGTTGTAGACCAGACTAAAATGTAAAAAAGTTTGAAAATAAATAGCCTATTAAGTCTAAATATTTAAGTATTTGGCGCTGTGATGATCTCCATAAAAAAAAAAAACATGGCTAAATGGCTAAAATCATTTAAATATGTTTCAGAAAGTAGCGACGCTGTTTTGTTTACAGGGTTTCCGGGGTAACGGCTGCATTTCTGCTTTTCAGCGGCATCTGCTGTCAGAGAGTGAATGTGCTTTCATTCAGCACGTCGCCTTCATGGGTTCCGCCCATAGACTGTAAAAAAAGATGGACGACGCGTCTCCACTTCCTTCCACTATAGAAAAGTGAAGCCAAAGCATCTCAGTATGGCCGCTGCCATCTTGAGTAAATTACATCATTTGGAGCCAGAGTCTGCGCAGTAGAGATTCTTTTTTGCAGCCAAAGTCTGCGCAGTAGAGATTCGTTTGATGCCAGAGTCTGCGCAGTAGTGTCGTGAGGTGGAGCCGCGGTATCAAACTCCCGCCCAGATTCCCGGAGACCCAATCAACCATAACGACATGCCCCGTTTTTATAGCATCAAATTACTAGCTAAAATCAAACTTATCACAAAAACGAACAATTGAACATATATCAGCGTGATAACAACTACCTTTAATAACCAAAACCATCTTTCGGAAAATTGTATTGGAAGTGTAATTTTTTTTTTTTTTTTTGACTCAAGTCCCTTTCGTTTACATAGAGAGGGCGGGGTTTATGACCTGTACTGCAGCCAGCCACCAGGGTGTGATCAAAGAGCCCGCAGCTTCACTTTTCAGGATGTGTGAGCAGTGGGGTAATGTAACGAAGTAATAATACTTCATTACAGTACTTAAGTATTTTTTGGGAGTATCTGTACTTTACTTGAGTTTTTATATTTCAGCAAACTTTTACTTCACTACATTTCCTAATTAAAATTTATACTTTTACTCCGATACATTTCCCCGAAGCATATTCGTTACTACAAAAGAGTCAGAAGAACACGGACTGCAGAGAAGCATGTTTGACGAATCAGTGGTCTGGCGTTTGCAAGTTAGACTCCTAAAAACACCTTTGCTCATGTGCAAACAAGTGTGCGCACAACCGCAGATGATTCGTTTTCCACTCAAGTCGAGTCTGGGGTGTGCGATACAGTATCGTCTGCGATAATATGGTAAGTGTTGTTGTAATGATGTGCGATCTCACATTATGAAGTAGGCTATATCACCAAATCACACACGGAGCGCACGCACGTTGATTAGTTTATAAAACCTCAAAATTCCAGGCATTCTAAATTGTAGACGTTAAAATGCTTCTGTATGCTTTTTATATTTATATAATTTAATATAGTTAACAATCTATATCACACAAAGAGTACCGT